AAAAGTTGGAATTAGAAATACCATTTGACCCAGCCATTCCATTACTAGGTATATACCCTAAAGAAGTGAGAGCCAGGACAAGAACAGATATATGTGCACCCATGTTCATTGTAGCACTATTTACAATAGCCAAAAGATGGAAACAACCTAAGTGTCCATCAATAGAAGAACAGATAACCAAACTATGGTGCATACACATGATGGAATACTACGCAACCCTAAAGAATAACGTAGAATCTGCAAAACACCTCATAATGTGGATGAACTTGGAGGACATTATGCTGAGTGAAATAAGTCAATCACATAAGGACAAATATTGTATTAGACTGTTATTGTAAAAAGTCAAGGAAAGGTTTATATATGGAAGGAAATTTTCTTTGTTGGTTACCAGGGGTCAGAGGCGAGGGAAGGTAACACTGTTAGATAGGAAGAGACAAGTATTGATCTGTGTGAAGAGAAGGGCAATGTACCAAATGTAAGTGATCAACACAGTGGCACTGAGAAAGAGGGAGACACAGAGCAGTACATGGGAGGTACAGACAACAAAGATGAACCCTCTGCACACACAGTACTGCATTGTCAGTTAAGGCAAACATTGATGTATGGGTGGATAGATGGGTGGACAGGCTGAACTATTAGGTATATCTATGCAGGGGGGATTGTGCCCATGACCATGTATAGAGTTGATAGACAACGTTTCTACAAGTGTTTATTTGTATGTTCTGTAAGAATTACCAGGTATATAGAAGATCTGACAAGGGACAAGGTTGTAGTCACTTCTTAGTCACAGCCAGCTACCCAGAGGGAGCAAGTAGTTGGACCTGTGGGCTCAAGACCATAGTTGCAGAGGACATCAAGCTCAATTGGCATAACATACTATACAAAAATATTGTTCCACATCCTACTTTGGTGAGTAGTGACTGGGATCTTAAAAGCTTGCAAGTAGCCATCTAGATGCAATGATGGGTCTCTCCTTGTCCAGAGCAAAGAAGAATGAAGAAAACCAAAGATGCATGG